GCCTTCCTTCACCTGCACCCTGCATGCCTCCTCAGCCCTGCTCATCACTCTCCCAAGCCCCACGCTCCTTGCCCAGTGTCGTCCACATGCACATACCTGTCACAGTGGGAGCATTTAAAAGGCTTGGCCCCGGTGTGCTTTCGGAAGTGCCTGGTTAACTCATCACTTCTTGCAAAACGCCACTCACACCCTTCCCATGAGCATCTGTAAGGCTTTTCTCCTGGGAAGAGAGCACAGGAAAAGCGGGCCATGACTTTACTGACCCACAGAGGGAAGCAGGAAAGGCAGCGACAGCCACAGGGGTGGGATGCGAGGTCAGGGTCCCAGTGGCTTTTGCCAGCGGTAACATGCATCCATGGAGGACAGTAACTGGCAGCCTCAGTGAGACGACAGGAGCTCTTTCCTGACCCAGTCTCAGGTCTCCCACTACTGTCCAAGGGACATAGCTTTGGCGAAGCCCATGGTGCTGTAATCAAAGCTAACGTGGAGAATGACGACGACTCAGACCAGCCAGATGCCGGCAGGAAGAGGTGCCAGCCAGCCAGACCCACAGTCCCGCAAAGGCAGAGCTATCGTCTTCTCCATGGCAACTGCTTCTCCCAAGCACATTTCCGTTCCCTCCTCACCTCCTATGGAATGAGTCTCTGCACTTTCCTCGGGGACCTTCTCCATTTCTACAAAACAGAAGTGACCAGCTTCTGGGAAGCCCCAGTGCCAGGCCTCTGAATTACTCTCTAAATGGCAACCCAACAGCTGGATCGACCTCATTCCTTGGTCAAATGATAAATATGAATTTAACACAAGTGTGGCCTGAGAATACAACGTCGCCAGGCCAGTCCCGGAGTATGCTGAGACAGGCCCGGGCCTGGGCTTCGGGCCGCCCAGATCCCAATCTCAGCTGTCACCAAGCCTGCCTGGGACTCTGACTCTCAGCAATTTGCTGTCCTACTGATAAGAGTCTGCATCACGTGACCACTAAGCTCCCTCCCAGCTCTAAATTTTCTGTGCCTTCTTATCGATTAACCCAGTGTATTGTCAAGGTATTCTTAAACGCCACTCTCACCTAAGGAACGGCATTTCATAAAGAAATTGTTGCTTCCAGCGGTATCAGAAACAAAGGCTGCCTGAGACACACAGAGAGTCTCAGCAAACACCCACTGGTGAATGCTGCTGCTTTAGAGCAGGCCGGTCCCCCCGGGGCCTCGGGCCATCAGCAGCAAACCACACACTCCACGCTGCCGTGCAACCCTCTGTCCTGACCCTTGAGTTCCACTGAAGAAACCCGAGGGCAAGTCAAGGTAGCCTGTCGTGTGCCCTGGTGAACAGGCAGTGGCCTCGGTAACCGGGAACGGCAGCGGGGTGGGGGTGGAGGGCTGGGTGTCCATGGAGAATATGACCTAGTCTCTCGCCTGTTTAATCTGAACAGTGTTAAACACTTATCCAGCTCAGAAGTCCGGCTTTTAGGACTCTACTATGACCTCCAAAAAGACCCAGTGCTTTGGTGGAAAAGCTCTGAGGAAGTGAGGATGTGTCTGCTCTGACCATATCCTGTGGGGTCAGCCCCCGGCACCTTCAGGGGCTGGTGCAAGGCAGTGGCGCCCACCAGTGGCCGCCCTCCGGGGCCCGTGTGGGCACTGACCTGTGTGCGTCCGCTGATGTGCTTTCAAGTGGGAGCTTTTGGTGTAAACTTTCCTGCAGCCATTAAAGTGGCACCGGTGCACCCTCCGCCGGCCGTCAGGGGAGGCATCGCCGCTTCCCTTGTCGCCTGGCTTCCCCGAAGTCCCGCTGCGTACCTTCCCTGGCGAGGGCAGCTCCCCGGGCACACAACCCCACAGTTGAGAAGGTTCCCTGCTCAGTTCTGGAGAGGATGGAGGCGTGGAGGTGACGGAGGAGCTCAATTTCCCCGAAGTAACCAAAACTTCGCCAATGGGGTCAGAGGTAAACTTGGCTGTGGGAGAAAGTTCCTCGGAGCTGTCAGAGGATTCGCTGCTGACATCTGAGTTCAGGCTGTTGGTCTCTAAGTTGTAACAAAAGCTCGGGCTGATGAGAGTGTCCTCCGGAGGACTGGAAGAAATCTTCAGTTCGGATTCCTCCTTTTTCTCCCGAGCCAGAATGATTTTGGTCCACAGGTCTTCCTGGCTGTCAAATTTGATTTCTGAGGCTGAAACATAGCAGGGCTCGCTCTGGAGGTAACGTTCCAGCTCTAGGCAGGTCTGCGCAAAATGAACCAGAGAAGGCACATGACGGCTATGGCGACCAAAAGCAAAAGCAATTTCCAAAAGCATGCAAGAATGAAGGGCAGATCACTGCTGCCCGGTCACTACAGGGCAAAACATGGTGGAATTAAGCATCCGTGTCCTCACGGAAGTTACAGGAAATCTATTTCTAGCAATGGTGAGAATTCAGAGGAGAAGTCAGGGGGGTGAACCTTCTGCCTTTCCCAGTGTTGGGCCAGCGGCCGCAATGGGTGACAATCACTAAGCCCATTTTTCTGTTGTAGTTACCAGTGTTGATGTTTCCCATGAAACCACAGGAAGAGAACCGGCCCCACACACAACCCCCCCCAACAGGTTCAACCAGACGATCTGACATTGTCAAGAACCATGTGTTTTAAGGACAGCCCCAGCCATCCACCCTTCACACCCCACAGATACCCACACAACAAGACAGAAAGACTGCATAGCACACAGCGTGTTCTGGGGGACCTCCTTGGGGACACACTGACAAGACAGGACCACACTCGGGGAGAGGAGACAGCAGCTGTCTGTATTCAGGGGCATCAAATGGAGCTGCAGAGAAACCACCCATTTCCTGTGCAGCCAAGACCTACGTTTGCACAGAATGCCATTCCCAATTGCAGGGCCTTGCATGCCACAGAACTTTAATTACTTCTGCAGTGATCACAGAAAAACAAGGAACTTCAACAACAGGAGTGCAGAAATAATTCCAGCGTGGCCATCTGCTATTGTGAAGGAGGCAAGGGGAAATTACTCCACGGCCTGCTGGGAGTCCCACAATGAACAAGAACTTTATCTACTGGCCAAGAGTACAATGGCATGAGTCATCACTCCTGTTTCTTTCACGCAATGCCAGAGGAGACTTCCTTTTGAAATTCTGATCAGCAGCCAAGTAAGGACCCAGCTCAAATGGACATGCAGTGTGGCATGGACGGTGCCCCTTCCCCAGCCCCGCAACCAACCTTTCAAGAAGCTACAACTGCCGAGATCAGCATCCCCTCTCCCCACCATTTCAAACTTTCTAGCCACTGGAAAAGAAAAATGGTAGGAAACATTTTAGGATTAAATTATGTCTGCCCCGATTTTCACCAGATCAGTCGCCTGCATGTCCATATAAGGTTATCTATACTACTGGCAATTCTACTGATTTCAGTTTCTACACCAAACTGCTCTGGTGAGCATCTCATTTTCCAGGCACCCACAGCCCAGAGCGCAGCCTACCCCAGGGGCTCGGGCTGACTTAGCAGTGTGCTTCTCTCCTGGCGCAGGCAAGCCCTCCCCCTCCCAGGCTCGCGCACAGCCGGGGTGAGCAAGCACACGGGAAAAATCACGGTAGCCCTTTTCCCTGAAACTAGGCGTCTGAGTTACAATGCACACTACAGCTGTTCTGAAGACAGGCAGCAACGATATATTTTATTGATTTTCCAAAGAAAAAAAGAAAAGCACATTTATGGAGATCTTGTTAAACTTTAATAATCCGGCTAATTTAAAATCTCCATTACGCTGATGAGCACCCGGACCCTGAACGAAGCTCTCAGAGTTTAAAAGCCTCCGAAGGCGACCAGGAGCCAGGTCTGGCCGTTTGCCCAAATCCCAAATGCCCGAAGGAAACTACTTAGATCAATTTCAATCACGTCCCAGGGAGCAGCTTTTTGAGGAGGAAAAAAAAAATAAGTGTGGGGAGAGGGGGGAAGGGGGAAGAAGGCAGGAGGGGATTGTGAACAATTAAGCAGGCATGTGAAGGTTGCAACAGCCTGCATTTCATCCTCCTCAAAGCTTTCAAGGCTTGGAAACCCACAGCCTCTACTGGATTTGGCAATGCACTTTGTGGCGAAAAACAAACAGCACAGCAGGGCAGGGAAACAACAGCAAACCCTCCCGCGATCGCTGGAGAGACAATGGGACGAGTGTCAGTCCCTCTCCCCCGGGGAGATGCTAGCAATAAGCTCGGAACACGGTAAGTTTCTTAAATTTCCAATGCCCCAAAATTGCAGTTCTACGACAATGTCGGAAACCCAGGTCCTTTTTCCCAAACTAAGACTTGAAGCAGTTTGGACGGGCTCATTGTCACAAGACTGACAAGTCACTGGTGTGTACACAGTTTTGTTTATTTTTATTTTTCTCGGTCAACCAGAGAAGTAGGTGAGACAAATAAGGCAGATCTAGGGGAAACGTGAGGCATTCCAAAGAGGGGAAAACACTGGAAATAATCTAGAGTTTTTTAAAAAACGAAAGGAAAAAAAAGCTGGTCTACATTCTGCTGGCAAAATGTGGTATTTTTAAAAAAGCTGTTATGTGCTAGCACCAAGAACCAAAACAAAAACAAAATCCCTTTAAAAAAAAAAACAAAAACAAAAAACCCTTGGCAGGCAGAGCAAGTTGGTCCCCATGACAAGCTCCAGCTGTGGCGTCTGGATCGGGGACAGGCTCCGAACTCGTGCCAGGGGCTCGGCCGGGCTGCGTCGGAGTTGGGGCTTCCTGGGCGGACGCGGCTCGCGGGCTGGAGGGTCGATAGGCGGGGGCGCTGCGCCCGCTCCCCCGGTGACAGCCGTGGCCAGGGCCCGGCGGACCGCAGAGAGCACCGGGTCTGAACCCCGAACTGCCGCCCCGGCCCGAGCCCCCCGCCCCGGCGCCCGCAGGGAACAGCGGCCGGCCGCGTTTACCTGTTGCCAATACTCCTCCAGGGACGGCAGCGCCGAGAAGTAGCCGGTCTCGTGCACAATCTGGAGCTCCTGGAAGATGCTGCACATGGGGAGCACGTCCATGTCGGGCCGGGTGGGACGCAGCCCGCGGTCGCGAGGGTGGCGAGGCGCGCGGTGGGAGCCGGAGCCGAAAGTCTCCCCGGAGCGCAGGTGAAAGTTTCATGCAAACTCCGGACTCGAAGAGACGCTGGGCCGGACCCTCCCGCAGCCCGCAGCGCGCGGAGCCCACACAATATTTGCAAACACCGGACTGACTGCAAACGTAACCCCTGCAAAACTTCCCTATTCAAAGCTCCGCTGCCAGCCTCCCCCTCCGCCCCCGCCTGGCTCCCCCCACTCCCCCTCCCCCCCACGTGACTCGCCCCGCGCCCGCCCCGCGCGCAGCCCAATCCCGTGGCTCCCGGCCCGGGGGCCGCGCGCCGATGATGTCAGCTCCGGCCAATCGCGAGCGGCGACACACAGCGGCCCCGCCTGGCGTGACCGAGCCTCTCCATCACGGCCCGCGCCATTGGCTTAATTCGAACTCTGCCCGCTGTGATTGGAGGGTGGCATCGCAGGCTATTTTTAGCAGGGTTTATAAGGCGCGGGCGGCCGCGCGCCGGAGGAGTCCGCGCTGTGAGGTGCGCGGCCGAGCGCCGCACTCAGCCTGTTGCTGGGGCTGAGGGAGTCGCGGCCGGGAGAGCCGGGCGGCCGGGTCCCGCCACCTCGCGCTCGTCCCGGTCACCGAGCCGGGCCCTGTTGCCGCGCGAGCCCCGGTTCCGGCAGCGCAACCCGCGGGCGGCCGCCCCGTCCCGTTCCTCCCGGCCGTCCGGCCCCAAGTCCCCCAGTCACCCCGTTCCCTTCTTTGCCCAGAGCCGCCCTGTCCTCCCGTCCCCTTCTACGCCAGGCGCCTCCCCGTCCCTCCGTCCCTTCTGCGCCGCCGTGTTCCCCTACATCCCTCTGGTCACCCTCTGTTCACTAACCTTGGCGTCCCCCGCTCTGTCGCCTCCATCCCTGAGTTCTCCCTGTCCCCCTCCACCCCCGGAGTGCCCCCTGTTCCGCTCCACCCCTGAGTCCCTCTCCGTCCCCTCCATTCCTGGGGTCCTCTCTGTCCCCCTCCCGTGTCCTCAGGGCCACCACGATGCGGGAGCGGAGCACGCAGGCTCCCCTCGGAATCCGGAGGAACGTGTTTATCTCGTAGAGGGCGATGTCAGCCCTCACCAAGGTTAACAGCTAGGTTTTCCCATGAATGTGTAAACAGTTTAAATTAGGTGGAAGCTGACATTGTGTGTGTGTGTGTGTTTCCATATAAATTATCTCCTAAAATATACCATAATATTCATTTTTGAGAAAAATGCCAAGAACATCAACCAGAGCATTTTAAAATCCAAAATAGAAAGCTAAATTGTAGCTATATTATAGTTTGTTTCAAAATAGGGTTTAATGAACATTATTTTTAAACACGTGGAAGGAATGGACTATGTAAAAAAAAAATATTAGAGGGCTTTGTATGTTTGTTAGCGCCTCCAGCAGAAGCATGGGGCTCTAAGGCCAGGTGGGACCTCTGTGAGTCTACAGTGGAGGAAGGTGGCTTGGTGTACCTGTGGCATGTGGGCCGTGGTGGTTATGCGGACTGAATTGACACGGTGTCTCTCAGCCAGTGTTCACGTTTACCGCATCACCCGAGAGCCAAGACCAGCGCTCCTTGGGCACCGCACCTGGAGTCTGTCTCCAGGAATGCAAATGGCTTTGTTTTGAACCATCCACAGATTTACTCAAATGCCCAGTGACCCGCAGCTGAGAGGGTTTGGGTAGCGGTCGTGTTGGGGGCAGGGTTCTCTCAGTCATTAGCACGCCTGTGACCTTGGATCCACTAGTTCCAAAGGAAGCAGGAGTGTGGAGCAAGTCCAGGCACCCAGGAACAGGGGGAGCCTGAGATGTAGGGGAAGGCGCTGTGTGGGCAGGGAGGCCAGGGTGGTTATCTGTGCAGGGTCTGTGGGCCGTCATGATGAGGGCGTCCCATAGTGTCTTGATTTTTAAAATAAATGCAGATTCCTATGGAATATAAATTTATCCTTGTCTCTTAACAGGCCCTGCCCAGTGCTATGAAGATGATGTAGTTTTTTTTACAAGAGGGAACCTGATTAGTGTAATACAGATACAGTATAATGGCCATTGTCATTTTCAGAAAAAAAAAAAAAAAAAAAAAAAATGGTTTAAAAACCGGGTACCTATGAACACTGAATTTCAAATAAAATAAATCCTATGGCATCATTAACTATTTAACACATATTATTCACACTCTGTGACTGGCGAGGTATTAGTACACAGAAATGTACAAAATAGGCAAAAATCCCTATTATAGTGTGAGGGGAGGTGGGCAGGCAGGAGAGTGTAGACGTCTGAAAACAAGTCATTAGTACTCAGTATGTAACCAGTGGGTGGAGAGATATTTCTTTATGTGACAAAGGATATGCGCAGCATGTGAGCACTACTAGTTGCACCTGATTTTTTTAAGAAGCACGACGAAGAATCACAGAGGGCCAGATTAATTCAGAAGGGGAAATACGGCAGGATATAAGATGGACTTTACACTCTAGTTATCCAGGCTATGCACGTGGCTCTGGTCAGGTTATTTAATAGGAGATTAAAATGTCTATTAGAATTAGTTTGGTATAATCAGAAGAGTTAATGTATTAAAATCCCTCCTTAGTAGCAAATAGTAGTCATTCAATAAACTGAAGGCAGTGTTCACTTGTTCAACATTGAGCGATTTCTGAGTTGGCTCTTGATAATTATTTTATAATCCCTCACCCCTTTTTTAACAGATGAGTGACTGTGGACAAAAAAATGAAATCAACTTTGCAGGCCACAAAGCAAATCAGAGACAGAGTTGGACCTCCATTTGTCCAATAACCCCACGTGCGCTTCCTCCTCCCCATCGTTGAAGAGCCTTGCTCTCTTCTAACTCACCCAGTCTTGGAGAGAAAATAGTCAACTCCACTTGTTGGGTGTGACTCTCATCCTCAGCTCACCTTGAGCCTCTCAAGTCTCTGCCGCTATCTTCAAAAGGTAAACATCCCTTCTGGGTGACAGTCTTAGGCCCCTTTCCACATTCCTGGGGGCACTTGATGCCCCTTGCACCCTTGTGTTACTTCCTCAGTCCCTGCTTACACCTCCATGCCCTTCTCCTCCTAGACCTCCAGGCTGCACTCATTTCATACCAGGACGCTCTCCTTGCTGCCTGTAGGAAAGTAGACATTTGAAACCTAATTTTATGTTTAATTTAAAGATTAATGGGATGACATGTTGGTTTTGAGTACGTTTGATTTTCCTGTTCTAGATAATTCAAGATGGGCTCTTAGGGGAAGTCTTTCAAATCTGTTCAGAGGGTAATTCCAATAATGTCCCCTAATTATATTGACAGAGAATGCTCCAACTTTGGGGCAAGAAGCCAGTTTTGTTGTTCTGTTTTATTTTGGTTTTGGTGTCTGTCTTTACCAATATATTGCCAGTTCTGGAGAAAACTAACCTTTTATTTCATCTGTTTATTTTGGTTGTACAAAATATAATTGTTAAGAAAGCATTTTTGAATATTTACATGATAGGTCCTATGTAAGTGTAAAATATTCTCTTTTTTTGAGATGGAGTCTTGCTCTGTTGCCCAGGCTGGAGTGTAGTGGCACAATCTTGGCTCACTGCAACCTCTGCCTCCTGGGTTCAAGCAATTCTCCTTCCTCAGCCTCCCAGGTAGCTGGGATTACAGGTGTGCACCACCATGCCCGGCTAATTTTTTTATTTTTGGCAGAGATGGAGTTTTACCATGTTGGCCATGCTGGTCGTGAACTCCTAACCTCAAGTGATCCACCTGCCTCAGCCTCTCAAAGTGCTGGATTACAGGCATGAGCCACTGTTCCTAGCCCTAGGATGTTCATTTATTAATTATCTCATTTGCAGATCGTTCTTAAATAGTGAGTTGCCTTTTCTCTCTGTAGCATTTTTTAGGAAGCATATGAATTTATTAATTAAAAAAAGGGTTACTACATGACATGTAAGGTATAGTAGATGCACTCTTTAACCATTTGTGCTGAGAACAGTTCATGAAGGCAAATGCCCTATTGATAGTTTTCAAAAGATGTCAAACTTTATTTGTCAACATATGCAAGGTAATAAGTACAGTGATGGGATGCCTCTGGGGCATTGGTGGAGGAGAACGTCTGCCTATGAGACCTTTGTTTTAGTAGCCCTCTTTTAAAATATAATTGTCAAGTGAGACAGCTGTAAAACTCACCTCACAACAGGGGCTTCAGAAGAAGCTCTCTGTGGACTATCCACAGGTACAAGCTCTACCACGTCTGTGGTTAAGATATTGGTTCTTTATAAGTTGGTCTGTGCATTCCACACACTTCTCATCAAAATCTCAGCAGGCTTTTTTGTTGAAATTGTCCTGATGATTTTTAAATGTATAGAAAATGTTCAAGAGAGCTGTACCTAAACCAGTTCTGAAGGTTGAAAGTTTTGTGTGTTTCAAAACTTAAAGCCAAATTGAACATGACTGTGTGACATTGGTGTAGATACAGTTAAATCAATATATCAGAATATGGAGCTCAGAAATACCTTTATTCTTATAAACTTTTTTTTTTTGTTTTTAATTTTCAAAAAGGTACTAAAGCAATCCCTGTGTGTGGTTTACTGCGTTCTTGTATCTGTGGTTTGTTGTATTTCATTAAGTCTTGGAAAGTTCTTGGTCACCGTAGCTTCAATTATGTCTTCTGTCCCATTCTCTTTCTCTTCTCCTTCTGGAACTCCAATTGCATGTGTGCTAACCAGTTTGATATTGTCCCGCAGATTTCAGCTGCTCCATTTCATTTTCTCACTCTTTTTCCTGAATGTGGTTCTGTCTTTATAATTTCTATTGACCTATCTTCAAATTCACTGATTCTTTCCTATGCTGAATCCTGTCTCCTGATGAGACCATTGACAGGATTCCTTAGATGTGATAGTGTTTTTTTTTACATTGCTTACATTTCCATTTTATTCTTTCTCATAGTTTCTTTCTGCTGCAGTTCCTCATCTTTTTACTGTCTTTATTTTTCCCACTACATTTTGATATATCAATCGTAGACATTTTACAGTCCTTCTTTGGTAGTTTCAGTATCTTGGTAATCTCTGGGTCCAATTTTATTGTCTTGTAACAATGTGTTGTTTGCCTTCCTTTTTGTGTGGCTCTTAATACTTGATTAAATGGAGCATATGTTGAGCAGAATAGTAGAGACTTATGGTAAGTAGAAATTCCTCCTGAAAATGGGCACCTGCCTTCTCTCTAGCTGTCATTATAGGATAGGGACTGGCAAACTTTTGTCTGTAAAGGGCCACGTAAGTAAATACCTTAGGCTTTGTGAGCCACAATATCTTTGTTGTAACTTCTTGACTCTGACAGTGTACCCCTAAGCCAGCCATAGGCAACAAGTAAGTGAATGGCCATGGTTGTGTATCATTAAAACTTTATTTACAAAAACAAGTGACAAGCCAGACGTGGCTGGCTAACTGTGATTCGCCAATCCCCGGTCTAGGGATCGGGTCTGCCTGGTCAGTCAGTAGTTGAGCTAGGTTTTGTTTTTGCATTGCTATGCATGTGAGACTTGTTAAAACGCTCCAGCAGTGGGCTGCTGCTACCTTGCGTTTAACATAGAGATGGGGTGCCCGGGTGCCCCTCAGTGCTCCTGTTCCACACCCACTTTGACCATTGCTGCACACCTGTTGTGATTGAAGTGTGTGGGGGAGGAGAAGGGCTCCTGGTGAGGATAGGGTGTGTTTTCAGTTCTCATCTCGGGATGGGCCTATGCCTTTGGGCTTTGGGGCTAGGGTTTTCTCAGTGTCCCTCCCTCTTCTTCTTCACCAAGCCAAAGTGTCTGTATCTGTTAGAGGAGAAGTGGTAGGTGGGAGGGAGTTTCCTGCCCCTCTCCCAGGGAGAGAAGATCCTTGCTTCTTGGCCTGCAGGACCTGGGCCTGAGGCAGCATCTTGCTGCCCTGCACTGAGAGGCTTTGTTTTCCTTAGAGGAGGGGTCCAGGGATGCAGGTAGTGGGGGTCTGGGGCCTACTGCCTTACCCACCGATCTTCCCTGTTAGCACCTGGTGGAAGCCTGTGGAGAAAAGTTTGCAGGTAGGAATCAGATTCCATTTATTCCAAACTGTGGTCCAGCCCACACTTTCCCATTAACAGATTGTTACAATGGAAGCTGATTTCTTCTGTGGCAGCTCCTCCTTCTACTTTTCCAAAGACAAAACAATCTGTGGCACGATTTCCCTTCAGATGTTTAGGACACCTGTGGCCCTCGCTCTTTAAAGGCTAAAGAAAAATAGGATTTTGTAGACTAGCCGAGTTTTTCTTTTTAGTGGGGTGGAAACAATTTTCTCTTATGGCCTTTTCCATACACAGAAGTGGAGTTCCAGAGAAATATAATGGGGAGAGGAAAGTCTTCAAATGATGCTGGGACACCTGGGAAAAAGGAGGCATACAGGCAGGCAGGAAGGAAGGAGAGAGAGAAAAGAAAGAAAGAAAGAAGAAAAGAAAAGAAAAAAGAAAGGGAGAAAGAGGGATGGAGAAAGGGAAGGAAGGAAGGACAGACAGAGGGAGGGAGGGAGAGAGAGAGAAACTCAGCCCTGCCTCATATTATACATACAAGTAAGTAACGACAGATGATAGACTACATGAAAAAGCAGGACTACAAAACTTTCAGGAAAAAAAACACAGGAGAAAATCATTATGACGGGTGTGTGTGTTGGGGGGGTTCTTGGGTGGGAAACAAAAAGCAAAAATGTAAAAGAAAGTGATTAATTAGATTGCATCAAATTTAAAACTTTATCAAAACACAATACTAAGAACATGAATAAACAAGTCACGGATTGAGAGAAAATATTAAAAAAAAACACCCATCTAGTACTGAATGAGTATCCAGGATATAAAAATGAAATATAGAAGTCAATGATAAAAATATTTTGGAAAAATTAAAAATAAACAACATATTTGAACAGACACATCACAAAAAAGGTATGCAAATGACTCATAAGCACTTAAAACCATTTTCAACATTGGTTGTCCTCAGGGACATGTGAAATAAAATCCACCGGAATGGCTGAAATTAAGATGACATCAAGTGTTGACAAGGACATGTCGTGAACCATCAGAACGTCCCTTCACTATTGGGTGGGAGGGTAAAATGCTACGAGCTCTTTGGAAAAAAGTCTGGCTATTTTTAATAAAACAGAACATTCACCTACCCTCTGACTCAGCTCTTCCATTTTCCAGGCGTTTAACCAAAAGAACTAAAAGAATATGGCCACAAAGAGATTTGGTCAACCTCGTTCATAGCAGTTTATCCATAATAGTCAAAAACTGGAGCCTGTCCAGGAGTCCGTGACCAGAAGATGTGGTGAATCATGTGATGATGGGCTGCTCATCAGCAGAAGAACCTGCAGCAACATGATGTGTCTCGGACACCTTCAGCTGAGTGAAGAAGCCTCTCAAGAGTGCCCACTGCAGGACTCATTCTGATTATGTTTTAGAAGAGGCACCACTGATGTTTACCGAAAACTAGCATGTCCGTTGCCATGGTGAGCAGGGGTGGAGACTGACTTGAAAGGGCATGAGGGGACTCCCTTGACCAGGCGGGCATGTTTAATGTCTGGATCGAGGTTTGGGTTACACAGAATATTGCATTTATCCAAACTGATTGGTATGCTTAAGACTTGTGCATTTAACTTTCTGCAAATTTTACCTCCCTCTCCCCCACCAAAAAGAAGAGAGTCATAGACAAATATTGAACTCATAGTAATAACATGCAAGCTGCAGTGTTCAGTGGGGAAGCATGCTAAGGCATGCATGTGCTTTGAAACTTCAAGAAATTGAGAGAGAGAGAGAGAGAGAGAGGGAAAGGAAGAGGAGGAGGAGGAGGAGGAGGAGGAGGAGGAGGGAGGGGCAGATGGCTTGAAGGATGGATCCGTAATTGATGCATGGGTGGATGGATTTATGTGCCACAAAGCAAATATAGTAAAATGGTAATTTTTGAATCCCAGTGCAGGCTGTTTGGGTGCTCACTGATCCTTTAAACATCTCTTTGTATTTGAAAATGTTCTTGATAAAAGTTGGGGGGAAATATGCTAGAGCAGGGAATGTTGGAAGCCATGCTGCAGTGTGCCTTGGTTAATGAGATCTGGTTCCAAATTCTGAAACCTAATAGCTAAGGGACTTAGGCGAGTTATCCAGCACCTCTAAGCCTCAGTTTCCTAGCCTGAAAGGTGGGCTAATAATTATGCCTGCTGCCTGTACCTGCTCTCCAGGCACTCTGCAGGCCCTTATTTGGCAGTAAGTTTTTCCTCCCAATAGTGCACCACCACGGAGGCCATTTCTGTGAGCACCCTGCTGTACAGGTGAGACTGAAGCTTCAAGGGAGAGGAGAGAGGAGCTGGTATTTGTCTGGGGTTCCTTTGGTTCCAGGCTTGACTTTTTTGCTCACCATGCTCAGGGCCTCATAATTTTGACTGAACCACTTTGTTGAAACCTGTGTTGATGCAAAGAGGAAGACGTAAAGCCAGGTTATTTTGGAGTTAACTTTTGAATTGCTGTCTTTGTAACAAATTATAGCTATACAATGCAGTTTTAAGGCATCTAATGAGTCAGAGTAGAAAATTAGTCTCGAACTGAGTGTATTAGTCTCATGTGGCTGCTGTAACAAATATCACCCACTTAGTGGCTTAAAACAACTGAAATGAACTCTCTGAGTCTGGGGACCAGAAATCTGCACTGAGACATGGCCAGGTCCATGCTTTCTCCAGAGGTTCAAGAGAAGCATCTGTTCCTGGCCCCTTTTGGCTTCTGTGGCTGTGTCACTGCAGTCTCTCCTCTGGTCACCTTGCCAACTCCCCTTCTATTGGGGACAAGTGTATCTCTCACTTCCCGTATAAGAACACTTGTCACTGGATGTAGGGCCACTTGGATAATGCAGGGCAAGCCATCTCAACATGCTGAATTTAATGACATCTGCAAAGATCTGTTTTCCACATCAAGCTGCATTTGTAGATTCCAGGGATTTGACCTCTTTGGGGAGGAACTTTCCTCTTTGGGGAGTCTGTGTCTTCTCTGACAGCCTGAACACAAGAGCATACATATTCCTTTTTTATAACTAGTATTTAGTATAGTGTCTAGACTCTCCAGGCTATTCAGTAAATGCTTACTGAGTGAATGAATTCTTGAATGACTGTATATGTGGTACAGAATATATCTGTCCTCTTTGGGGAGAACACTTCTTTGTCCTGATACACTCAGCAAAACCATGGAAATCAACGTGCATTCAGTTGTGCTTATTAGTAGAATAATGGATTAAGTATTGTAAGATCTGGCTGGCAGGAGGTAAGAAGGCTGTGGACAATCACAATAAATATGGAGCTGATATCATAAAGCCAGGCTCAGTGGAAACGTGTGAAGACCACAGCATTTCCTGGTAACTTAACATGGATTGTTTAATATAATCCTCAAGATGTCCCCACCACCTCCATTGTGAGTAACGAGGAAACTGAGGCACAGGAAGGATTTAGCTTGCTCAGTCACCCAACTTTGGTAAGGAAAGGTCATAAGGAAAGGTGACTCGCAGTGGGTGCTCCACAGTGCAACTCTCTGAGATGAGGGACACCATGACCTCTGCTGTGTAGACCTGGAAACGGAGGTGGGGGACAGGAAGTCATGTGCCTGAGGTCACTGACTATCAGGTGGGCAGTGGAGGAGGAGGGAGTCCAGGAGCTCACAGGGCAGCTCTGCAGCCTTGCACAGAGTAACAGGCAGGGATCTGAACCTGGGGCTCTGAGCCCAGAGCTTGAGGCATGATCCCTGATGTGTGAGAGTCACAAAGAGCACTGAAAGAGAAGATGAGAGCCTTCCTTCCAAGGATTATCATTAGAACCTGGTACCAGGGAGATCAGGTGAGCTATAGTCCCATCTCCAAAGAGGCTGCCATAGGCTGCGAGGTCTGCAGAGGGCCCTTTACTGCTTTACTGTGCTCTCTGGCCAGCTGCCCTTGGCACTAGGAAGTACTGTGGAACCCCCATGGGGATAGCCACTCGTCCAAATGCTGCTGCTTTCCACATGCCCTTCTGAGTTAGCCAGGAGTGTGTCCTCACTTGCATTAGATGAGAGCCTGTGCACCTGTCCCTCTGACTTCCCCAGTGCCCAGAGCAGCGCCACCCTCACTGTCCTGCCTACTTTCTGCAGCAATCATCTGGTGTCCTCATTGTGGATCCTGAGGATTCCCCTGGGTGCTGTGGAGCCTGTAGTCTTGGTGGATCCCCATGCCTTTCTCCTAGGTCTGTGAGCTTCTAAGGGAAGGGACTGACTTCCATCTCCACATCCCATTGCCACTATGGGGTATGCAAAGGTGGACAGAATTTATAGCCAGAGTCAGAAATGAAAGTTGTTTAACTTCCTGCAGTACGGTGCTTGGGAGCTTAGCTCTCTGAGTTTTTGCCTCTTGTCTTGTATTACATTTGTTTATGAATGTTAATATTCCTTCCTAGACTCAGTTATTGGAAATAGTGACTGAGTCTTGAGCGTCTTTTTTTCTTCTGCAAATGTCAGCAAGCACTCACCTTCAGAGTTTTAAAAAAGTACTATGTTATTTATTAGTCTATAAAACAGCCTCTAGAAATTAAGATTCAGAACTACTAGCGTTTATAAGAAGGCAAAAAGAAAAGGGAATATTGCCGAAGAGTAGTGATTGATACATTTGGTATGAATCTAAAACCCATCATTGAGTAGTAATTTGAAAAAAAAAATAGAGAACATGAAAAAAATTACAGCTAAGTAAAAGAATTGAAACTGACAATTGCAAGTTAAGATTATACTTTGCCCCTGTAAATTAAAAGTTATGATTTTATTTGCTCCTGAATACTTTTAATCTGATTTTGGTTGACTATGTTCTAAATAAAATGAGCTACCAGTAATGCCTTCCAAAAACTCAGCAATTACTAAAAATTTTCCAAGAACATTTCACAAGGAGGGGAAACTGGTAGATGGTGTTCAGGTATGAAGCACCTGCAAATATGTAAATGAGCCCTATTATTTAAATAAGCAAATGAACCCTACTCATATTTCCATAGTGTCTCTACCTTCTTCTTGCAGTTCGGGCTTTATTTATTGCTTTATGTCTGTGTCTTCTCTGACAGCCTGAACACAAGAGCATACATATTCTGTTTTTAAAACTCGTGTTTAGTATAATGTCTAGATTCCCCCAGCTATTCAATAAATACTTAGTGAATGAGTTATTGAATGACTATATATGTGAATACAGCATTTATCTATGGGTTAAAGATGGAACTTCAAAGTAATGTATAATTGTTCTCTATTGGGATACAAATTTTTAAGCCATTAATGATTTTGCTTCACTTTCACTCTTTTTTGTGCCCATATAAAAATTTAAATAAACATTGACTGTTTATCCTTACTATCCTTAGTAAGTCACAGGTGACTTAATTTCACATTGTAAATTTCTACACTTAGGAACTCAGTATATGTGATGTAGTCCTGAGTAAATACATCTCCATGGGATTAATTATAGCCAATTCAGAAATGTCAAATATTTTGTATTTCATTGCATGTGAAGAAGTTGAAGGAAAATCTACTGGACTGTTGAACAGAGACTGCTAGACTACAAATAACCAGTCAAAGCTTGCTTAGCTCATGTGTTAAGGTTGACCCTGGGTGCCCCACTTTTTGTGAATTTCATTCTCATACTTTCTACATTTATTTCTTAGTTTTTCTGGAGCACATCCTGTAGTAATGTCTGAGGAATGTGTGGGAGGTCACGTTTCTGAGTCTTTGACTCTCTCAACTTTCTTTAATCTTCTCATACACTTGATTAATAATTTCACTCAATATAGAAATCTTGGTATACTTTTCTCTTGGGCCTTTGAAGAGAATTCCACTGTGTTTCAGATGTAGTTTTGTGTTTTACTTGACTTTTCTGGTTAGTTTCCCTCATTTCTGGTTCTTTAATGCTGGTATGCTGAGATAAAAGCATTTTTGTATGCTAAGATAAAAGCATAACCATGAACACATGTTTAATTAGATCATTTTGGAGTTCTTGAACTTATTTATTAATGACATTCAGGACCTCTGGCTTAAGCTAAAGAATCAGGGTATCTGTGGTTTCCTAGGCTTTGTCACGACTGATCTCTTTATGGTAGGAATTCTATCCAGGACTCCATAAAGGGCAAATCATTTAGAGTACATGTGCAGGGAGCTGGCCATGGGCTGCACATTTAACCAATGAAAGATATTGTCTGCAGCATTTTCTCTAGTTCCTTTAGGGGAGAGTGTTTTTGGGAGGAGTGTTTTGCTGGATCATAGATGCCTGAGCTTCATGGCTGATGGGTAGACAAGGGGAAAGAGGGTTAGGTTTTGACTGGTATAGTTCTCCTAGAGATAGAACTTCAGTTTCTTCCCCTGTCTTCAGCCCTTTCTAACTCCTATGCTCCAGTCTGTGTGCTGATTCGAGCCCTGGCGGGACTGATGCCCACCTCTTCTGAACCTCACTTTCTGTGTGCCCAGGCTGCACCCTTCTTGG